TTCGTCCTACTTAGAGCTGCAAAATTGCTTGTTTGTGCTTGTTTCGACATGCTTCGCTGACATTCTGGACTCTCGATAAGTCAACCAGTGACCAAAAAAAAAAAAAAAGTGTAATTCAATCCCTCCTGTATGTTCAAAACTAAGCTGGGTGCTCCAGGGAATAAAAGGAAGACACAAATGTCCTTCTGACCCTTAAGAAACAGAAATGCTATTTGAAGAAGTAGAGTTTGCACAGCTAACACTACTAGAGAAAAAAGAAAAAGCAGTAATGACAGTAATCTAGTTTGTGGAATATGGACTCTGAGCGCTATAGAAATTGAGCCGAAGAAAAACGAGGGAGGCTGCACATGAAAGGTAGAAGTTGATCTGAAGCATAAAAGAAGGGAAGCACTTGGACTTGCAGAGAGGAGAGAGAAAAAGCTATTGAAGTCAGCATATTCCAACTAGGAATAATACCTCAAGTAGTGTCATTAATAATACAAAATTAATAAATTTTGTAAAATATCAACTTAAATGGAGAAGAGTGCCAGATAGGAGATTCTGAAGAAAGTAAGGGCATAAAATCTTTTCCAGATCCCCCAGGGACTGGTGACAGAGAAGTTAGGGAAGCTTGAAAGCCAGTATGACTCTCAAGCCCTCTGAGGGCCTCCCTACTGCATTAACAGATAATAGTATTGTTAACTCTCACTGCCTCTAACTATGTGCCATGCATTGTGTTAGGTGCTTTGATATGTTATCTCATTCATTCACACTAAATCATCCTAGCAGTCCAGTGATAGTAGGTAGTATTATTATTGTCACCTTCCGTATGAGGAAACTGAGAGTTTTGGCAGAGTAAATAAACTGACAAACAAGATTACATAGCTGGATTACATAGCGCCAATCAAGCCAAATTCTGACTTTGGAGTGTGAACAAAATAAAAACAACTCAGAAGTCCCCAACGCTGTTTCAAAAATAGCACAAAGCATGAACTCAGAAGACTGTCCATATTAGCTCTCATGGATAATCTTGAGGAATGAGTATTCCTCATACTCATGAGAATGAGTCATGCAGGAATAGAAAGATGCAAAAGGGTCAGTTCTCACAACTTGATGGCATCAAATTTTCATTGGTTTAGGCCATTAACTCATGACTAAGAGGGGGGAAAGCCTACAATGTATCTGAGCTGGTGACCCCTACACTACATGAATTCTTCTCCATTCTTTCCCCACCACTGAATTTTTCCCCCTGATGTTAATAAAAGCATTTTAACACACCCACTACATATAACATAGAGGATGTAAATGGCGGCATTGAAGGAAAGAAGGAAGAAGGGGAGGGAGAGAAGGATGGAGGAAAAGAGAAGGCAGAAATTCAGAAAATTGTCAAATGATCCTATCCACTGCTTCTTTGCTTTCCTCCATCTCCCGTAATGTGTGTTGACAATAGTGACACCTCCTGGCGAAAACAAACTTGACCTCCTGCAGGATTTCATTTTGCTCACTCACTGCAAATTACTCTTGACTCTTCTTGTTGCCTCCAGGTGCAATTTTCTTTTCCTTATCTGGAAAAGCATAAACTGACACAGCCCATCCTCAGCCTTAGAAACTCAATAACCCAGTGCTGACCTGACCACAGAAGTCTGCTATGCAAAGCCCCTGAGTTTCATCCCTGAACACGTCAGCATGATTAGCCCAGAGACCCAATTCACAGTCTTCCTACTTACAGCTACATTAAATATAAATAAAGGAAACTAAATACCAGCTACTGAAAAATAGTTCAATTAAATTCTACAATGAGAGTGCCTCTTGATTTTAATGTGTTTAATCCCCTAGGAAACATACTTGGTGTGTGCCCTTTTCTTGTAGATTTTTTTTGGGGGGGGGTCTCAGACTTGTGTGAATCATACAGTCACCAAAATGACTAAAAGCTGTTGGAGTTATTGTTCACCAAAAACAGTAAAAGATTTAATGAGTGTGGAAGGTTTTGTTTTATGTCACTAGCATAGCATTCTAGAGTGTGATCCCTATGGTTACAAGACTTGAGAATAGTATATTAGAAAATACAGTATGATGTTTTGTCCATACTATGAAAGCAGTCCAGCATTTTGTTTGCTAACCTAGACCACTGAACAAGCACAATTAAAGGAAAGAGGAGTTGGCCAATCACAGCAGAGAATGAAGCCAACCTCAGACCCCATAGTATTTTCTCAAATTTTATAAAATAGTTGAGGGCTTTTGCTGTTCTCTAGAAAGAAGGCACTCAGTGATTCAGAGCATGAAGAATTTACCTTGAAACTGGTTTGCTTCTATTCTATTCACAGTCTGCACAATGAAGCCCCTTCATTCGGTTAACTAAACTTTTAACTTCACAGGTTGGAAAATATCTATGAACTTTCCCTTAGTTGTACTCTTATTTTGAAAAGGTTCCTATGAGAGATCTGCACATTAATTCTCAGGTGAACTTGCATTCCAAAATTAATAAAAATTCAAACCTTTGCTCCTTTTCACATCTAGTGATTCTTTAGGCAAATAAACCTTGGAGATTAGATTATGTCTTTGCTATGCATGAACAGAAAACACTTGTATCAGAAAGAACAAAAGCCCTTCAACTGATCAAAAAGGAAAAGGCAGTTGAGTTGTGGAAGTTATGTTTTTGCTTCTGTTTTATTGAAAACTATGGTTGAAATTTCAACTTCATTCTGACACAGTAAAAATTCCAAACATAAGCATTTCAAATCATTTATGTAAAGGCTAATTGTGGTGAGGGCGGTCAATTTGTAAGCTTTTTGCTTGCTTTAGAGCACAGTTGAAAGATAGACACTCAACTAGAATAATGTGTCTTATGATTAACATAGCATCCAAATGAAAGATCTGGAACACATCAGCACATAACATACAAATAATGAATATATTTTTGGACTTCATTAAGTAGTTTACACATTTAGTCAACAATGAATAAAGTGTGTGCATTGGGTTAAGCAAAATGCAAGGTGTTGGGAAGCATTAGTGGTCCCTGCCCTCAAGTGAGAGCAGTCTAGTAGGAGAAAGGCTTGCATAGCACATACTTATGCTAAAGAATTATTCACTGTTTATCTGAAGTTCAAATTTAACTAGGTGTCCTGTATTTTTATCTATCTAATCTGGTAACCCTAGGAGAAAGTAAATGGGCAATTTCAACAGTGTGAAGTGGTAAGTATGATCTGAATGCTAAAGAAGCGCTTACGGATGTATGAGTAACCCAGACTAGGGAATCAGGATCTGAAAGATGAATAGGAGTTAACCAAGAAAAAGGAAAAATAAAGAAGTTTCAAGAAGGAATGCAAGTGCAAAGTTCCCATGCAGAGAAAGAGACTGGCATATGCCTATCACTGTCATAAAAAATGTCTGGGCACAGGGTGATGAGGCAGGAGACATTGTAGATGCCTGACCATGGAGATCCTACAAAGATATTTGGACATCTTTAGGACAATGGAAAGTTGTAAATGTTTCCAGGCAGCAGTGTTGTACAATCAGCTGTATGATTTAGGAAGACTATTCTGGGTGGATGGTGGAAAATGGATAAACATCTGGCAAGATGGAAGCAAAGAAATCAGTTGAAATAATTCACCTAAGGGACACAGTTTAGTTTAGTGGTGTAAACTAAAATCCTAGCAAAGGGAATATAAGAAATATGCAAATGAGAAAGACACAGGAGAGATGGGTTAGGAGGAGGGTACAGGAATATTTGGTGATCAACTGAATAGGGATTGTCTGAAAGGAAAGACTCAAGTATAATTTAAAAATAACATTAATAGAACATTTATCATAGGTCATACAAAGTGCTACAAACATACCCAAGTCTATGAAATAGGCACTATTATTCCTGCTTTAGAAATAAGGGAAATAAGACTTACAGAGACAAACAAGTAATTAGCTTGTAAACCTAATAACTGGTGCAATAAGGATCATATCCAGTACTTGAGGCTGGACTAAGAGCTGACTGATGGTGCCATTGAAATAGAGGTGCTATTGAAATATAGGAGGGGCAAACATTTGTGGAAAAAGTGCTGACTCCTTTTTAGACTTGGTAGATCTCAGGTGTCTGTGGATGATGTCTGAGGGCAATTGAATAGATGGATTTAGAGTTAATCAAAGGGACTGGACCAGAAACAGGGATTGGGAAGTGGTCAGTGTAGCATTTAAAATTGAAACCATGAGAGTATAGATAAAATGGCCAGAGAAGGTATACCAAGTGAGACCAGAAGTATAGTGAAAAAGCCTGAAAAAAACCAACATTCAAGGGCCGGAATGGACAGAGCAGTAGGAGAAATACCAGAAGAGTAAGGTGTCAAAGAAGACAAGAAACGAGAGCATTCTAAAATGAAGGAAGGGTCGGCATTGTGAAATGAGTTATGCGAAATTGAGAGAGGAAGTTCAGAGGGTCAACTTGTACATAGCAGAAGAGAAAATTTTCGGGGCGTCTGGGTGGCTTAGTCGGTTAAGCATCCGACTTTCTCTTGGGTCATGATCTCGCGGTTCGTGGGTTCGAACCCCGCATCGGGCTCTGTGCTGACTGCCAGCTCAGAGCCTGGAGCCTGTTTCAGTCCACGTGGCTCCTTCTCTGTCTGACCCTCCTCTGCTCACGCTGTCTCTTTCTCTCTCTCTCTCCTAGAAATAAATAAAACATTAAAAAAAATTTAGAAAAAAAAAGAGAAAATTTTCAAAGCTAGCTAGTTGAAATAAAAGGAATTAAATTAGCAAATTTAGGGGTAAAGCATACTAGTACACAAGGAAGTCCAGATAAAATAGGAAGAAGAGGATGGTCAAAATGTGAACTGCTGTGCATTCTTGACAACCCAGGAATGAAGTGAGTCAAGAATGCAATGGGAGCATGACCAGGTAGGGTTAAGGTTAGTTTCAATAAAGACTAAACTTCAGACATTTTAATAAAGTTAAATAAAGACCAAACCCACGCCTGGTTGACCTAGTCATGAGTCAACTGTATACCATACTGATAGTATTATTATGAAAAAACAAACCTGGAGGTGGAGCCAAACTTGTTCCTCCATAGGGGAAGAGCTGAGTGCATTTTAGGGGACAGGAGTGAGGGCCGTCTGCTGCAGACAAAAGGTGTGGTCCTGAGGGAAAGAAGGCAAGTTCTGTATTTAGGAGATAAATTCAGCCTACTTACTGGAAAGCTTCTAGGTATAACACTAACCTTTTACTCTCTTATTGTTTCTGAAAAAACTATGCACCATAATTTTGTATATTATTAAGAGAAGAAAACACCTCTGCCTGGAGCTAGAAGACAAAAGGATTGCACTCACTGTGTAAGAGTAAATGAGAAATAAACCCACTACACAGAAGGGGACAGTGAAGAATGGGTATCTCAGTCTTGGCAATAATTGGGGAGGAAATTAAAACTTCTCCCATAAGAATATGAGGCAGCACACAGATTTTTATCTGAATTTACACCATCAGTGTGGTCAAGAGAAACCTCAAGCTGAGAATCTGTTTTAAAGCGGTTTCAAGTTCATAGTGGACCAAGTGACTGGCAAAGGAAACTCAAATCCTTCAGGGAAGAAGTCAATGTCAACCTAGGCTAAGAGTGATTCTAAATGCCATGAACAGTAAAGAGGACTAAAAATGTTGGGGAGCAGGGTGGGGAATGTGCCCTAAACTCAATGGGATAACACAATTAATTCATACTTCTTTTTTTAAAATTTTTTAAAATGTTTTATTTATTTCTAAGAGAGAGAGAGAGAGAGAGAGACAGCGTGAGCAGGAGAGGGTCAGAGAGAGAAGGAGTCACAGACTCTGAAACAGTGTCCAGGCTCTGAGCTGGCAGTCAGCACAGAGCCCAATGCGGGGCTTGAACCCACGAACCACGAGATCATTACCTAAGCAAAAGTCGGACGCTTAACCGACTAAGCCACCCAGGCGCCCCTTAATTCATACTTCTAGCAGCTTGCCTGAAAGGACATGTGGATTTCATCTGGTGACCCAAAAGGTTGACTCTGTATCAGAATTTAGATGGTTACCCTGGGATCAGAGCTTATATTATTACTCTCTTACTCTCAATCAACAGCATGGAGTCTGCCCAGAAGAAATACTGAAAGGGGAACACATGGTTGATGACTTGGATCAATGATCAGAGTGATAGAAGCTTCAGGCCATAACTGTTCCAGTCCAGTGGAATTCTCAGGGCAGATGCCAAGATGTTTTACTGGGCTACTGCCAGGACTGGATCAACCTTCTTCCAAGGCTCAGTAAAATAAGTACTAAAAAAGTCCAATGGATTTAGCAACTATATCACTGCTCTTCTCCAAGAACAATCTTGATGGAGATGAGAAAAAAGAAGAAAAATTGCATTGGGCTGAAATTGGAAAGAAGGTGAATAAACAGTTTATGGAAACAATGCTTATAATAAACTCAGTTCTTAAAGTGAGGAGAGATTTTAATTCTCAAAGGTGATACCAGTCCATGTTATCTATTATTGAAGGTCAAAATAACACATTCCTAGAAAACCCTTTTGGGGTTTCACAGGGGAAGGAACCCAGTATAAAATCAGTAGCTATATCTAACCAAAATCTCTTGAAATGAAGAATTTCTTTATAAACATGCCTCCAGATATGTTCAGTTAGATCACTGAGGAGGCATAATAAAATCTTGCATATTAAATGACTGTTTTCTCTTTAGTCCAGTGCAAAAGAATGTTGAAATTAATTCAGTTTGCTTTATTCCAATAACCATCCTACATTCATACCCTAATGTCTAGTATGCATTCTAGTTGACACCAAAGTGCTCTTTAAAAATTTTCTACAACTTGGGACACCTTGGTGGCTCAGTCAGTTGGGCATCTGACTTCGGCTCAGGTCATGATCTCATGGTTCATGGGTTCAAGCCCCGCATTGGGCTCTGTGCTGACAGCTCGCTCAGAGCCTGGAAACTGTCTTCAGATTCTGTGTCTCCCTCTCTCTCTAACCCTTCCCTGCTCATGCTGTCTCTATCTCTCTCTCAAAAATAAATAAAACATTAAAAAGAAAATTTAAAAATTTTCTACAACCAGAATTTCAGCTGTCTCTGTACTTCTCCACCCTCACATCATTTCCCTAAATTAGTGAAGTCTTGCTGCCAATGTAATAATGGTGTTTAGAGATATGTGGAATTATTCTCAAAGCTCTGTTTATTATTCCTAAACTTAAAGAAGAATAAAATGGAAAATAGGCGTTGTCCCAGCTATAGGGGCTATTCAGCAAAAGCCTACTTCTTCTTCTCCATATAGAAATAAGTCATACAGATATGTGTAAATATATGTGAGGATATGTTTATAGTCTGATATTTCAGGGTTTTTTTGTTTAGAAGATATATGTTTTTCTGATTTCATAAATCTGGGCAGAGATCCTTCGATGTATTCTCTTACCGAACTCATCTCCCTAACTGAAATGGACCTGGTAAGGCCAAAAGTAAGATGTCTTAGGAGGAAATTGGCCAATGAGAAGGTGCTTCTGATTTAACTTGATGGAAAAGGCCTTTAACAATCAGGGCTACTTTTATTTGAGGAGGAGGGAAAAACCAAAGATGGAAAGTCAAGGGCACAGTCAGGGTCAGGAATGCTATATTGTGCATCTTGCTGGACCACCTGCTACTCTGAGACCTAAGGTGACAATTTATGGCTTCCCCTACAATAACATGGCAAGTAACTAAAATTGTGGACCCAGCAGCAGCCAGATCTTCATCCTAGAGGACTTATTTATATCATACCAATGCCATCTATTTCCTTCCTGAGAAAGAGCATCTCAATTATAAGAACGGGAAACTTTAGGATGAAAGTAAGAGGGAAGGATAAACACATGGGTACCAAATTTATATTTTTATTTTGGTCTATAGCCTTTAAATCACTAGGCTTTTTTCCCCCTTTTGTTAAATATTTTGTGCTATTCCAACTAGTCTAGAAGATCACTTGCAAACATGGAACTATTATTAGATACATGGGGTTCATTTGCCTGGCTGGTGGCTCCAGTGTTTAAATGTGATGAAAATGCCTTCCTCTGTTAGTTTCCTATTGCCACTGTAACAAATTACCAGATTTGGGGTCGCTTAAAACAACATAAAGTTATTTCCTCACAGTTCTGGAAGCCATAAGTTCAAAATGAGTATCACTGAGCAAAAATCAAGGTATCTTAAGAGCCACACTCTCTCTAGATAAAGTCATACTTTACATCTTCCAGCTTCTGGTGGCTGCTGACATTCTTTGGCTTGTGGCCATTTTGCTTCAATCTTCAAGGCCAGTATCTCAAAATCTGACTTTGTTCCATCTCCACATAACCTTTTCCTCTGTGTATAAAGTCTCCCACTGTCTTCCTCATGGAACCATACATGTGATTGCATTTAAGGCCCAACTAAATAACCCAGCATAATCTCCCCACCTCAAGATTCTGAATAATATCCACAAAGGCTCGTTTTTTCCACATAAGGTAACATTCACAGGTTCTAGGTATTAGGATGTGGAAAGCTTTTGAGGGACCATTTATCAGTATACTATACTCACTGCTTGCCAATCACTTACCACATACAAAATCAAATAGATAGAGGGAAAGATCAAAGCCAAAACCAAGTGACTATCAGTTAGCTCTTCTTCAGACTTTGCTCAATTCAGTTATCTAGAAAATTCACCAGAAAGGAATTTTTTATTCATACGATGCTGGGTGAAATAAAGTGCCTTAAAAAGCAAAACTCTTCAGTAGTTTTCTGCATCACCCCTTAGGAAGATTTTAATATGGAAATGCTAATGAAAATGGAGAACTAGAATGTCCCTACAATCTCTAATAGTGCTACATTTATTTACATCACTTTCTGTCAGTTTAGACAGGTATATGAGGAAAGGAGAAGGATGGAGTTGTCCACTCTTAGACACCAATATATCCTTAAAATCCCTACAGAAACTGTGACAAAATGAAAGCCATTTGCTTCTGTATTGGAAGAGGACATGAGTCCCTGGGGTAATAAACCTCAACTCAATCCAATCCACAGCCCAAGGGAGGTTACAGAATTGAATTCAGAGCTAAACCATTCAGAATTTAAATACATCAAATTCCCAATATCTTAAAATGTCATGTTGGTGAGTCATCCAGGCGAGATGGTGTGGTGGATGATATTAAGGGTGGGGGTAAATCAAGAGCAAAAACATGACCCTGCAACTCCAGAAGAGTCCTAAGTGACCCTGAAACTCAAAGACAGAGAAGAGGAAAAATGCTGCCAGTGAGGTCTTCATAAAGAAACCTTTGCTTTTTTTATCTCCACCTTTTACTTCCACCATTTTCTCCTTTCCCTTAAATATTATTTTAGTCTTATAATAAATTTGATATTCTGAGTGGGTATAAGAGGCATTCTAGGATTTAGAACAGAAATGACCCAACAGAACAAACACAGACACACAGACACAGACACACACACAGACACACAGACACACACAGACACACAGACACACACACACACACACACACAGCTGTGAGAAGACAGCGTGAGGACACCCAAGTACTGGGCCGAGGGTAAAGTGACTCATGAAGCTAAATCATGCTGGTGGTTTCTAATCCCAGCTCACCAGGGACTTAAATTGTACAACAAGGAAATGACTTGTTGGATGACTTCCAGAGTTTGTCTTAAAATTTAATTGCAGCATACCTAACACTTTTATAAAACATATACATTTTACTTATGTTTCTTAGTCAAAATATTCCTCTAACCTTTTTTTAGTAAGTGACAAAAGTGTTCTCGTTGTAATTAATGGAGTACAAAAATATTGGGGAAACATGCCTAAAGGCTTAAACTATAATTCTATTACTAATATATTCCCTTGGCTTGCCTTTTGAACTCTGCTGCCTCTTGCCTTGCAGCTGTGTTTAATGAGTAGAGAGATTATTCAAACGAGCCCACAGCAGAGCATTATTTCAGAAGCTCTTGCCATCTTGAGCAGGCATCTTCTCTCAAAGTCAGGCAATCTGAGCAGACCATTCCTCTTTAGTTACCTGGCCATGTATGTGTACATCACATCCCTAGATTGAGAGAGAAGCTGCTAATGACCCTGGGACCAAACCAAAGGATGGTGGAACAGCCTTCAAGGTGAAAAATGAGGAGA